TTAGAAATTTTCTATCTGTTTTGCACATCTAGCAACAATAACTCGTATGACAAGTAAAGAAAACAGGTGGAACCACTGAAGGGGTACATGGATGCTGATTGACCACGTACCCAGAAATTCGTAATGCTAACTAGCTAAGATAATATTGGCCCTAATGACGAACGACGAGTTTGTCGCTGCATGCGATAAGCGGTTCATTTTCTTCGAACAAACAATCCAGATCTATAAATGAATAACCTTTGGGACGTGATGGATAACAGAGTCTGATCAAAACTGAGGTCTTCTACTTCAGAGAAAGGTCATTCATTAACGTGCTCTGCGTGTAAACAGAGTGCCATTATGACAAACAGGCAGGTGTCTAGACAATTCATTGTAGCATTCACAGGTGCTAGTAGCAGGTCAGCGAAACGAGCGATGTAACAGCTTAACTGCTATGAGGTGATGAAGATGGAAATTGTCTTCAGGAACTGAAGCTGTCTGTTTTCAAGTCTGTATGTTCCCGTATCTACGGTCAAGAGTGCTGAATTATAACAGAAAGAATGCGAACCCAGTTCCCAAAGGCAGAAATTATATTTCTCGAAGGACTGCAACGCCCTGAAAGGTCCAAGCCCTACATTTAAGATACCTTCACGAATATCTTAAGACGCGCTTGCTCTTCAGGTCGATAGATCAGAATCGCGATGGTTTAAATAAGTGCTGAGGAAAACGTAGGCAGGGCTCCCCATACGTACTCTCTGGGGAAACCACAGAGTCGGTCCATGAGCAGACAGCAGAACAGACGGCGCGACTATATATGGTAGATCGGGCGTTGTGGTACCTTGAAATTATCATGACCAATGAGCTTACCCATTTGGTTTTGTGACAGGAATCACTGTCTTCACGACTCGTAAAGAATTAGGAGCGCTAAAAACCAATGTTCACTCAGCTGTTAAAGTTTAGCTGGTTTAAAAGAAGATTTCAACAACAATACTCTGAGACATCGACTCAGCAATGAAGTTTTTCGGTTCAATCTGTCTTCCAGTCAGAAAAGTTATCTTTGCCGATAAGGCATCTCAGCGTTGAAAAATTCGCCCCCCCCCGTGCCTCTTACAACAGAAAGTTTCACTTTTAATAAACCTGCATAAACGACTGAGGACTCCTAAAGTGCATTTCATTGCTACTCAAAGCCAACTGGACAGCCGATCACATGCGTACTCTCAGAACCTCAAAGGTTAACAGCT